TAGCAGCATCTTCCTGATAACAACTCAAAATAATAAAAAATTGCGCTTGTCAATCGTGGCACATATGGCAATATCCCCCCTATGAGGCAATCTATGGGAGAGGTCTATGATCAGCAGTGGACTTGTATAGGCTGTGATGGCAATGTTATGGTAAAAATAAATCAAAAATGGAAATATGAATAAATACCATTAGATTCGAAAAAAGAAACATAACTAAAAAGGTCGTAACTAATTATGATTAATAATAATATCCTCCAGGCCGAATTTCGGTCACGGCGCAGGACAGGATTATGATGCCCAACAGTGAGTACGAGCAAGCATTGCTATGCGTGTGCTAGTAAAATGAATTCAAATTACAAACGAAACCTGAAATATTTCGGTAGTAAAAAAGTTCTTAAAGTGCCCTTGTACTTCAAAATTAGTAAAAATAATAAATTTTTCGGTAATGGCAGATCTTAAAGCTCTAAAATAGTTTTCACTAGCGCTGCACTATTTCTCAAAACCTTTACAATGGATATAGTAGACGTTCAAGACTATTTTTTGTAAAAAGTTGCCATTACATGGCAGTATTAGATAAATTATGTATATCAATTAAACAATCATTTTATTACCTTAGAGAGCAAACTTATCAAAATAAATAAACCGTTTTGCATTTCATGCCCTAATAAATGGACCACAATTTCCAATAACTCAATCAAAAAGAAACTGAAAATTAACTTTAAAATTTTAATGCACTTGAGTGAAGATAAATTAATGCAAATTCTACAAATTTCGCCAGCGCATTAAAAATTTGGCTTTATCAATGCATATTTTGACGGAAAACAGATGTTCGCACTAATATTATTAGTAAAGAAATAAAACTAAATCATTATATACATCGCGATTAATTTGAAATAATACTAGTTAATATTAATTAATGTTCCGTCACTAATTCTTATGAAAATTATAACATAGGTATATCATGCAAAAATAAGTTTTAAGATTTAGTTACGAGGTACATTCGCATCGCAATCATGAGCAAATTGTATAAAGGTGGCACAAGAACTTCTTGTATATCTTTTAGCTCTAAAAATCACATTTCACACAACTTTGTAACGCTTTACATACTGATACTAATACTGAAGTCACAGTTATTTCATTTCTTATTCGGATTTCACTAAATTTCGTTTTACAGTTATTTAAGTCTGGGAAACGAACTCACAGTTCACTTAACGAACTCACAGTCCACTTGATTGTAAGTAGGTCTTGCAACACATATACACCTGCAACCAACATCGAACAAGAAGGCTACAGAAGCGTTTTCACCTCTGAAGACTGAGATGGAAACAGTCTTTAATTGTACTAGCTATTTATACCACTTATACTGGAACACAGCAATGCAACACTGTTTGGATAAAACTTAGGTAAGAGGTACTACTTTGAGCATATATTTTTATTATGATATCGAAAGTTTTTCAAATTTAATTTCATCAACTTCTTTTTCTGATAATTAAATCAAATCAAATCAAATTAAATCATTTATTTGCAATCCAAGTGTACATCAGGGTCTTAATTTAAAAGTGTGCTTATAACTTAGACGCCTTTTTCAGGCACTGCAAATTTGACGAGGACATTGCTTATATACATAAAATATACTTAGAAGCTATATAAATTTAAAATACATAATATTATTATTTTTTATCTAAATACTTCTCAATTGTATAAAAGGGGTTTTGTTTTAAATATTTACTGGGGCTTGATTGAAATTTGGTTAATTCTGATATGTTTTTTATTTCCTGTGGTAATTTATTATAAACTTTTATTGCCATATAGTAGGGGCTTGTATTTAACATTTTTGTTCGCGACTGTGGTAGGTATAATTTATTTTTATGTGAAAGACGTTTTACATAAAGACAGATCAGCCAGAAATCACACGGCAAGGGTATTTCAACCGTCGCCAGTACACGGTAATTCGCCGTGTAGTGGTGGTGTAAGAATATCCACTACTCTATATCATCACGTGAGTGTCGTAAAAGGCGACCGGGGGAAAAAATCAGGAGATGAGTAGCAGCGTCTTCTTAATAACAACGAAAAACTGCGGCTGCAGACCCGCTCGCCCAGCGTGACAATCTATGGGGAGGCCTCTGTTCCGCAGTGGACTCTAATAAATAACTATTTTTCTTTCTTTCTTTCTTTCTAATAGGCTGTTACGGTAACGGTAACGAATCAATCTAATATTTTCAATAGTTATTGTCATATTGGCCTATCATATTGAATTTTTCATACATTTCATAGGTTTTTTTTTATAGGATAGGGTGACAATCGAGCACACAGTCCACCTGATGGTAAGTGGTTGCTGTGGCCCATAGACATCTACATCAAACATCGAATACGAACAAAATGCAGATGTGTTGTCACCCGTGAGAACTAAGATGGAATGCCTCGTTTCCAGTAAAATGGGTCGCCGGTTCTCTACACTCACCATACGAAATACAGAAGTATTAAGCTACTATTTCACGCTGGTATTCTGTGAGAGCGTGGTCCTTCCCCGGTCGAGGTTAAGAAAATGTCCTATTAATTACATGGTCCATATAATAATATAGTATAATAGAATGTCAAAGTATCATTAAAGATGTAATAGTTTAGTTATATGTGTTAAAACAATCCAGTTACATATTATAATGTAGGAGTCTCGACAGTCAGATGAATATTGTATTTAACATGGCTGATGTCGCCCATTCAACAGTACTGTACTGTTTTATTCTATTCATTGACTCGAGAAACCTCGCAATTTGCATTGAAATATAAATTTATTTTAGTAGTTTTAAAATCTCACGAATAATTTTAATATTTTGAAACTATGTTTTAGAAAGTAATTATAGTATGAAAAAAATATTGAGAAAATTAAGTGTATTCATTTTGCTTAACTGCCAATTTTATTTACATACTTAATATTATCGTAACCTATATTTATACACATACAAATTTAATGATCTTATAATACAGTTTACCTCTTCAAGACGTTTAAATAATCTGTAATTTGGCAGAAGTATTGAGAATCAAAGACAATATAATACTTTCATGAGACTTCACTGGGAATCATCACAGCTCATACATAATCAATATGTGTTTTTTTATAGCATTGGGTGACAAACGAACACACAGACCATCTGAAAGTAAGTGGATGCTGTGGCCCATAGACATCCACATTTATCCTCAATTAAGAACAAAAATACAAATGTGTTGTCGATTACAGTAAAAAGGGTCTCCGGTTCTCTGCACTCACCATACGATACACAGCAGTAATACGAGTACATTGCTATTTTATACTGGTATTCTGTGAGAGCGGTCGAGCTGACCCATTCGTGCTGCGATTATAATATAGCTGCAGCGTGGCTCCACGTAAAACGTTTGAGTTTTTTTTAAACTCTAATATTTTTTTAATATTATATTATTCTCTCATATTATTTGAAATAAAATCAGCTATATTACTTTTTTTAAAACAGCTTCAATGAGAAATCTATTAAAATACACAGTGTCTTAGCATTAGATCGTGGATGGCATAAGAGACGATAAAGCTCCCTGGGAGATTCACTATTGGACTTTTGATAGACTTCAGTGAATAAATATATGATACACTACTATTCTAAAATGTTAGATATACTACTATTCTTAAATTATATTAATAATCCAAAGATCATTTAACAGATATGGATACTATTTAAGAAGATCATGTAACAGACGCTCGTCAACAATAATTGGAAAATTAAAAATTACAACTTTCATTAAAAAGGTTTTCTTCTTTTTTTTAATATTGAGTTATTATAATATCGGCGACGTAGTTTAGTATCTTGCACATCTTTACTCAAGTTGCTTACAAACAATAATCATTTATCATAAATACACAATTACATCATCGAAAAATTGTTCAAAAAGTATATTAACATATGTAAACAACATATGTGGAACACAGCAGTTCACGCACTGTTTTTTGGTGACAGAAGTTAGTAAGAGTGTGAAAAGACGGAATCGTAGAAAGAAAAGAAGTACTACCAGTAGTAATATCCTTTCGTGGTTATCTTATATACACTAAACTTTCTTAAAACATCCATAAACATATAATTAAATATTCTTCAAAACTTTTCGTAAACAAACTGAGCGTATCGATATTTTAGAAGTGTAAAAGAGACGTCGTTTTTGTGAATATTGCCTTCACACGTTAAACTGACAATAGAATACAGATTTACGTAAGAGAATTGTAAATTTCCTAAGAAAATCCCTGAATCTTACAACATTTAGAGTTGTACTTACTGAGTGAATAATAATATTTCGTATGTAGTAATCAGTCAAAGGTGTGGGGCGTCCCCCCACTAGATGGAGCGACGTCCTAATAAAATATACAGGAAGACGATGGATGCAGGTGGCACAGGACTGAGCTTTGTGGCATTCCTTGAGGAAGACCTATATTCAGCAGTGGACTTGTGAAGGGCTGTACTGATGGTAATGATAATGATCAATCAAAAACAATAAATTAAATACATTACCAATCGATTACAGATACAAATATTTCGATTTATTAATTTTAAAATCGACTAATAACAAACAAGTGTTTATTTTTCTTGAAGTGTTTGTATGAAATAATTATTGCTCTGTGTCGCTTAACGCATTCACTAATACATTTTAAATGAAAAAGATTTTCTCATTTTTAACTACTGAGAAAAACTTGCCGTAGTATAATTCTGAACTCTACTACTTTTAAAATGCTATTAACTCCGGTTTTTCTTTTATAAATTAAGGGTGACAAACGAGCATAGTGTCCACCTCATAGTAAGTAGATGCTGAGTCCCATAGGCATCCACATATATTCTCGATTAAGAATCAAAAAGCAAATGCGCTGTCATTCCTGAGGACTTAGTTGGAATACCTGGTTTCTTGTAAAAAGGGTGTCTGGTTCTCTACACTCACCATACGAAACACAGCAGCATTAAGCCCACTTACAAGACTCTGCTCCAACACCGCTCCTACCCAATACCGCCCTGAACTAAGGCGACAGCTAGCTGACACCCAGCAGTCCACGCGGCAACAGCTAGCAGGCACCGAGCTGTCCACGCGGCGACAGCTAGCAGGCACCCAGCTGTCCACGCGCCGAACGCTATCGCTTTTCGCGATAGACGCAGTTCGTGGTCAGTTTCCATTGAAACAACTCGTATTTTTGCTATGTCTCGATTCACAACGCACGAACTAGCCATTATTGCTATTGGACTTGACGATGAAGATAGAAGCTCAAAAAATAACAAACAAGGATTTTGGGTGCATAAAATGCAGCCGACCGATAAAATGCGGTGGACGCCGCGCAGACCGCTTGCTTGCAACGCGTGGTCAACGAGGCGTCGACTACCGAGCAGTCCTGACAGCGGTAAGCTCGCTGTCAGCGAGCTGTCTGCTAATTTATGTTGCCAATGTAAAATATATCTAAAGAGCCATACTTAAAGCCCATATTTGAATTATATTATTTTTGCCGGGTGGGAGCGGAGTCGTGTAAGTTGGCTAAGACCTTCAAGCTGCTATTTCACGCTGGTATTCTGTGAGAGCGTGGGCTTTCCCGGTCAAGCCGACAAATGCGTGCTACAACTTTAAAACTACAGCATAGCTCTACCACGTGAAATATATATAGTATATTAAATTTTACAAATTACTGTATGTAGTACTGTTAAAATAGTGTAAATAACAAGGGATAGTGAGATTAACTACTGTTCACCAGTCAATATAAATTATGAGCACAGAATCCTTCCCAGAGAATTTTTGGAAAATTAATTCGTGCCACCGTCATCCTGGACGGGTTGGTGATTTTTGGATCATTAGATCGAATTTCATAACGGTCGCAATAGACCAGGTAATTTTAATAAACATTATCATTCAAGCAAGCAGTAAATCGCAATCGTTCAAATAATTTTATTTGTGCCACATAATATCTGGGCCAAGGGCCCAAAGCATTGAGTCTTTCAAAAAACTGGTTAAAAATTATTATTTAAATATGTGTTCTACTTAATATATTTCATTCTCATATCTACTATACTTGATAAGGTTTGTGTATATATGGTATATGTATATAATGTGTAGCTATAATATGTTAAAAAAATATTTATAAATATGTATATGTATAAATATGTATATATGTGTATGATTATGTATGTATATATGTTATGTGTTATGTATAATTTTTATCTACTATTTATACACACTTCTATATTTTTATATGTAAAAGATCTCCCTCACCAATGTTTGCCTGGAAGAGATCGCTGTTTAGCGATAAGGTTACCTAATTGTACATAAATTTATCAATTTAAGTTTGTTGTTCTTTGTATTATTTTGTGTCCAATAAAGAGTATTATATTGTATTGTATTGTATCTGGGCTTGCACTGTTATGTTCGAAAGTTAGTATAATTACAATTTGTCAGGCTTTTTATCTTAGTCCTTTGAGGTGATAAGAAAACCGTAAACTTCTATGTTTGAAGTTAACTGCAGGTGTACATGACTTCCAGTTACCGCTTTCTAACAGGTGAATTGTTAAGCTCGTTTGTCATTTCCGTTGTATAAAATAAAATAACAAAACACTTTAATAATAATTAAAATTTGATTTTGAATATTCCCCCAGCCCCTGCCCTTTCCGTTTTAAATTTCACATATGCTTTTTACATTGCCAGACTTCAAATGATATTCCTTAATAACCAAATTTTGAGGCTAAGGCCAACCGAGTTCAGTAACCTCCTAATGTCTTCGACTAGACTTACACACAATTTATATGAAGAAAGAACAATGAAATTTTGATTCCAAATGCAGTTGAGAACAATAAAATAATTTTATTATTAATTTGCTACTAAGTTAAATTAGAACGCATCCACGTACGGTTTTAATAACCTATTTTAAACGACTTCATACAATTTATCATTTAATATTATCTTTCTAATCATACTCTATTGTAATTTATTTATCTTTCATTTAAAAACTTAATCTATAAAGAATGACATAATTTCCACAAAAAAATTGCTAAAGTCGGTCCCAATACATAATTTTTTAACAATTATGGCACAGACTTCAAAATCTATTATGTGGAAATTATTTTTTAATATTAATAAAATAGAATATATGGCAATTGAGGTATTTAAGTCGGTTTTTACTTTTTATTAAAAAATTAAACTTTGATCGTTTTGATTGATCTAAGCAATATCTTAAGCTCAAGCGAAAACCCAAATTATAATTTTAATAATTACATAAATAATATCATTTTCCATTTATCAACCTTAAGCCCTGAAATATAATCCATTTAATAAAAATTATTCAAAACGGTTCAGCTGTTCCGGAGAAATCAGTTAACAAACTTAGTAATTGAATTTTAGTTAAACAAAGCTAAAGAAACACACTAAAGATAAAATTATTTTAATTTATCCTCGTGATTCTAATCAGAATACTAGGATAAAGTTATTAAGTTAATATTTTGGCAAACGGCCCTTGATACGAATAAAAAAAATTCTCGTCAATCAACCGTTTACAAGTTGGTGAAAATTACATTAAAAGATTCCATTACATACTTATCATAGATAGATACACGCGAAGTAATAAAAGCGTGTTCAAAAGCATACGCATCGACAATAGAACCTGTCGGTGAAAAACTCGTTCATCACCAACAGTTGTAGCGCCTGTTGTGCGACAAGAGCAAAGGTTAAAAACTTAAACTTGGAAGTTAGATAAATTGTTGCAGTTACTACACACACTATACACTATATAAGTAACTTGAGTTGCAAAATATTGTTTTTTTTTCAAATATGTTTCATGTATCTAGTTCTCAGTTCTCAGCAGGTAGAGCAAAGATTATGTATAACCTAACATACGATCCACTACTGCGTACAGGCATCCACAATCTCATTATTGAGGTTTACAGCATGGAAGAATTTTCGCGCTGCCCCAATATCTTTTTTTTAGTTTATTATCTTTCAGATTAGAATAGAATCATTTTTATTCAATATAGATTACATGTTGTTCATAATAAAAGTTATTTTATTACTTTTACCACTGGTTTGGAAATATACTCTTGAAAAGGAACCAGACAAACGTTAACTAAGAAACAGAAGGGAGTAATCAAGGCTTCTCTCGATCCGGCCTCCTATAACGCCTACGTTGGGTTCGGGAACAACGTATGTGATCTCCGCAACGGAGTAACACACAAGGGCGATAACCTCTTCCTTTTCAGAAAATAGGTTCAGGCGGGGATTACGGGTCTTCCGAAGTCGTCCCGGTCCCAACGCCTTAATTCTTCGATATGGACTGTATCACTTTAAGGGGAGAATTCCTTGGGAATAAAACAGCAATTATCTTCAAACCGTTCCGTGAGAGAGTAATTACTTTTCCCTATCACTTCCCTATACTTTTTCTTTCTTCTTCTTATTGACTGCTGGTCTTGCACTTTTCCCGAACGATTTGCAAGAAAAATCAATTTACTGAACTACCTCGAAGCTAACGCGAAAGTGAGCCGCGCCATTTGTGCGCTTGCGCAATTCAATTACATCAATTTGTACTATCACTTTCTCACGGTTTGCTCAATAACTTTATTTGTATAAGACATACATTTATACAATTTACTTATAAAGATAGCACAAAAAAATATCTATACTACGGTGTACATTACATTTTCATATCACAAAAAACCCTTTATTTATTTAACAAAATATGCTTATTTTACTCACATGTTCAAAGTTGGAATTTCTTAAATATTTAACATAGAAAGTTAAAACAATGTTTTCCACTTGAAATTATACATATCTTAACTAATACAATAGTTTAATTTACATTTTCTCTATACATTTCACTATTAAAACACTTTTAAATTTCTTATACAAAACTATCATTATTTCACTTATTCACAGGAATTTTCACATAAAATAACACAGAATTCACCTCTTTTTCACGTACAATCAATGCGTGAATCTATGAGCTCACACTATTTGAACAACTAACTTTTGCACGGCTATCGACTATCAGTAAAAATGGAAAGTTTAGTATACACTAATATCAACAATAATAGGTGAATAAATGATTCTACACAATTCTCAAACGTTGAAAACTATTTCTAATCAGATTCTTATCAGTTATTATGTTTCTTATCAAACAATATACATAAGTGAATGTTTTCATAAATCAATCATAGAAAATAGGCATTTGTTTTCATACAAAACATATCAAACTCATATAAGACAATACTTATGCAATTAATTTCCATTAATTCTACTTATGCACAGCGATCATCTCAACCGGGGAACAAATCCTGGTCTCTAACTTTATTTTAATATTTCTTTAAATTAACATTATTGGAAAGATGATTTCAACCGGGGAACAAATCCGGTAACATAATTTATATCTTAAAAATTCCCTATATGAATTTATTAAGAGATATTACTAAGAAAACGATAAACTATTCCGGCCTGGGAGTCGAACCCAAGACCTTCATATCATTAATTCAATATTTCTTTAAGATTCAACTAAGCATTTTCTTATCGGAATATTGTTGCTTGATAATTTGCTTTTTAGAAGCTATTCGTAATCGGTTAACTAATAAATTGAAATATTCTTATAGGCGCGTCGCCAACAACTCTGTCCTGGAAAGAACCAGCAAGAAGTCCAAAGGGACTTTTTTAAAGCATTAAGTATTTACAATATAGTATTTATACAATTGTTATGAAAATGTTTAAAAATAGTATAGCAATAGAGATCATTTCACTCCCAGAGGTTATTTTGTACTTTTACTTTTGTTATTATAATAATCATGTACTCTTTAGTAGTATAATAACCCGTACTAAACAATTTTTTTTTTGTTGTCCGTCTCTTAAATAGGAGTAGGCTCTTTTTTTAAAAGTCCCTAAGTTGTATCGGTCTGGAAAAATCTCTGGTGGTAGTCGATTCCACAATGTAGTTCCCCCCCCCACCACGTGGAAGAAAACTTCTTTTAAATCGCACGGTGGTGGACCACCAGTCATCCAGATGTTATGGATGTTATAGCAAGTTTTGTCGCGATGTGCGATGGTGAAATTGTGCAACTAAAATTAGTCCGAACAATTCCTCAAAGCACTCTCCGTGAGAGGTGTAATTTTTGCTTAATAAATATTTTAAACCTTTTGATACATAAGGGCTGCATATTTTCTGGGACTTTGTTGTAAAAGTGTAAACATTGCACCATAAAGGAATTACTAACTGTTT